CTTTGGACATCTTCCTCAGTTGGATTTCCAATGGCTAATGTGGTTTGGATTTCCTTCTGAAGCCGCTTGAACAACTTAGTCGCATTTCGTTGTTCCTCGGTGAGTTGTGAGGGCTGAATCCTGTTCATGATGAGAAGCATCCCTGTGGCGGCTGTGAACAAAAGAGTGGAAGATAATCTAAATGCAGTATTGTCAATGGCAGTGTTGAGCCCAACCATGGTTGTGGCAGAAAGGGTCATCATATTCACGGAGTTCAAAAGAAGAGAGTTCCAGTTGTTTCGTTGCTCTCCCATGTTGTTGTGCATTTCGATTCTGTCGGAAACAGCTTCTAAGATTGCATATAATTGAATGGTAGCCTTGGATTTATTGGAAGAAGAGCAGGAATAGTCGTCGTCATCACGTATTTCTGTGGAGGTGACATCAAGCTGTGATGGGATTATTGTGCCTGTTGATCTCTTCAATTCCTTAACCAGCTTTGTAGTAGTAGTTGGGGATACTTTTGGAAGCGGGAAACGAACTCGTGGGAGCTTAGGGACATTAATGGCGGCGTTGACTTTCTTGATAGACGAAGAAGAAGAAGAACAAAATGACGACGCAGAAATTTGTAAAGAAGACATTTAGTTTGGAAGAAACGGTATGCCGTTTGAGTGATGAGTTGCAGAGGGAGGAAGAAATATGGTTTTGAGTTTCGGAATGAGGATGGGGATGGATGAAGTGGGCTAGGGGGATCGATGATATTTATATATATGAAGGCAAGGAAGAAAATATTGACCATTGACTCGTCATGGGTTGAATAATATGAATGGTTGGAGGACCACGCCTTAGTATATATCTGACCTGTTCTTTAATTAATTACCAAATTCGCATTTAGCTTATAATTTTCAATTTAGGAATTCTGATGGTCTAAGTTTTGAGTCCTGATCTGCTCCAACATTACAAGGCATGCTTCTTCATTGTTTCCGTATAAGTTGCGATGTTGAAAATTTTGTTAGAATTTAAATTTTGGAAATATTAATAGTATATCTTTTTAGAAACTCTAAAAATATTAACTAATCATTGCATTTGTAAAAGATATACAGCTTGTTCTTCTTCTTTTTCTTTTTCCCTTCTTTTAGAATAAAAATCCTTAAAAGTAAACATACAAGCATGAGACTCGATAACGTAAATAAATTAGAAAAATAATACAAATAAAACATCTAGTCTAAGAAAAGTCATATCAATCAAATTTTACCATTTTTCATTCATAAATAATCACTGTGTTATTACAAAATTTATACAATATTTGCTGACTGATTTCAAGAAATTCAAAAGTTTCTCCTTTTTATGCTTTCCCAAACTTGTCACTTCGTAATGTAATGTGCAAACTCCTACTTTATCGCTTATGAGTAACCATATTTTTATGGTCATAAGAAAATGATTTTTATATATTTTTTTAAAAAAATATGTTTGCACAAAAAAGGACTCAAGTTATGTATGCTTGACATGACGAGTTATATTTGATAAGGAAAAACATTCTCAAGGGAATGAGAAATAAAATTAAAAAAACTGAAATGAAATGAAATGGGAACAATTTGACACGTAAAAGTTTAAAAGAGAGAGAGAGAGAGAAAGAAAAAGAGAATTTTTATCTACCGGCTCATTATAGAGACCATGGAGAATGAATTCGAAGGGCACGTTTGATCAGTGGAATACTTTTATAAAAATGGGAATAGTTTGATAGGAAATTAGGAATGAGGTAATTATATGTAGTAATGTCATGAAAAAAATAAAAATGTATACTCAATCAGATAATGACGACCTCATAGTAAAATATATTTTAAAAATTTTGTATTGACATTTTAATTATTTATAAAATTTTAGGAAGAATTAGGGAGAAGACCAATAAAAAAATAATATTTATTATAAAGGATCTTAAAAGTTGTAATTATTTAGATTGGCTGAATATTAAAATATAAAACTAAAAATACGAGCTATTTTTATTTACAAACGAGCTATTTTTTCTAAGAACCCAAGTTGTTTATATTAACAGTATTTATTATTCTTGCTATTTACATCTTTTTATTAAAAAATGGGATGTCTAATTTGTATGACTTTGTTATTTCAATTTAACGTTATAATAATGAAAGCATAGAATTATATGATTGTGACTTTACTTGGGATTTTTTTGGACCAATATATATATACACACATATATATTAGTGAGAATAGTAATTATATTGATTAAAATAATTAGATTTGTCAAAGGGAGATTGGGTCACATATAAAGCTGAACTGCTCCATTTAGGACAAATTGGATGGGCTAATTTTCTTTGCGTGCTTGGTCAACCAACCACAAATAACAGCCGTTGCACAAGTCAGCTGATCGATTCACTTTCTTTTATTTGAATGGTTCCAATTAGATAGAGTAAGCTGGTGAAAAAAAAAAAGAAGATAGAGTAAGATTTAATTTCTGAATTATCAGATTTCAATTTGATGAATAGCTATGTCAAACGATAAAATCAAATGAGGATTTAAAAAAGCAGTAAGCAGTGACGTAAAAGTAGAGCAATATTAGTATTATCATTTCTCCTTGTATATTCTCTATGGTCTTAAATACCATAATAATAACGAAATTCGTTGGTAAATTTTTTTAAAAAAATTGATTAAAAATAGTAAATGTGTAAAAAAAATATAGTATAAATTTGTTCTGAAAATTGTCAGACACCCAGAATTATTTTTTTGTGCGAAGTGCCTCGAAAGTTAAGAAATGTTGCCTCTTATTATTAAAAAATTAATTATGTTAAAATAGTAATATTAATTGTTATTATTTTAAAAAAAAATACCTTTAGAGAGAGAGAGAAAGAATGTGAGAGAGAGAATGATAAGTAGGAGAAGAAAGAACACGATAATTAATGCAATGACACAACATGTAATTAATGGGAATAAAATTGAAAAAAATTGGTTGAAATTTCGGGCACCTTTTAAATTTTTCTTATAAATAGAATCATGTTTGTGTCAAAAATTATATTTTATACTGTAAAATAAATATTATATTTAGAATTAGAAGCAGCATATAAAACAAAACAAGAAACAAAAAACCGGATGGAATATTAAACCGATTGAGATAGTGATTTAAGAGTCAATCAGTCGGACTAGGGTCAACTCGAAGTTAAACGGGTCATATTAAAATAACATAATTTTTTGAGTGAAATAAAATAATAAAATTTAGTTAAAAATAAAAAAATACAACAACATTAATAATCAATAATAACAAAATACAACAATATTAATAATTACTAATAACAAAATACAAAGAAATATAACAATATTTTGATTTTAATAATAACAAAGTATAACAATATTAAGAATTTTGATTTTTACAGTTAATCAATAATTAAATTAATAATCATTGCATCATTAAAATTTATTTAAATATATAATAACTGAAATATTAAGAACTGAATAAAAAAAATATAATTAATATTAATATACATTGGTTTGTACCATTTCAACTCTTAACTAGTTGAACACCCAAAACAAATTGGACCATTGACTAATTCACTGATTTTTTGGTTTAAACGGCTAATTTGATTTGGTTTTTTTTCCCTTGATATAAGATCATGTAAGGAAATATTTGGATGGATAAGGAAAACACATAGCAAAAGAACTAGACGATTTTTACAATGACAATAATACCTATATCGAATTCTTGTCCCATGAAAATCAAATTTAAATTAAAACCAAGACAATTCGAAATGAAAAATTAAAATAAAATTATTGTTTGTGTGCTGGCCAAGGTTTTTTTGCATTTTCAACTCTAAGATGGCACGCGGCAGTTGAATAGTAGTGGGCTTCGACGTAGTGACCGGGCTGGCACAAAATCAAATCAACGTAATTTTTTTTTTTTTACCAGCCAAATCAACATAGTTTTATGAGGTTGTGACGTAGCCAAAAAAATGATGAACCAAAATGGAAGGCGATCGAGTCATATTTGGAAAATGTTGACTTTTGACGCTTTCAAGACCGCAAAGAATATTATGTCATTGCCAACGACCAATAGCCTCCAACTAGCACATTAACGACTTCCAACTATTCTCAACCGCCACTATTATTGTGTTTAAATTCTAAATCAGAAATAACTACAAAAGTGTATTCATTTGTTTTTTAAATATTATGAATTGTTATTAAATTGTAATAAATAAGATTGATTTGAAAATTTGAAATTTAAAGATTTTTTTTGGTAATTTTCCCATTAATTTTCCCCCAAGTTTTTAGATGTAATTTTCAAAAAAAATTATTCCAATTAAATTTTTATATATTACCCCTCCAAACTTGTTGAAAAAAATAACTTGAGAGAATTACTTTAAGGGGGAAAAAAAGAATCAAACACGCCCTTCTTCTTACTTTTTGTTGCTGCAGAGCACTTGTAGTTTAACGAGCGGAACCTAAATATAATAACTAGTGTGAAGGTTGCTTTTGTTATGAATGTAAGATTTTAATCTTCTTTATCTTTTAAATTTCTAATTTTCTTTCTAATAAACTACTCCTATGAACATAATATAACGGCGGTTTTGTGAATGGGTTCATTTCTAAGGTGTATTTTATTTTTATTTTTTTCTATTTCCTGTGTATTTTATTTTTAAGGAAACATGCAAATATTTTTTTTCTATAAATAATTAATATAATTAATTTTAGTAATTTCAGTAAATTAGTTATCTAACTCTTACCAACCTAAATAGCATTGGAGGGAGTATATAAAATTAAAAAAATTAGTTAAAGTTAATTAAATGTCCTAAATTTTTAGGATTTTTCAAATTTATCCTCATGAAAAAGGGGAGATTATTAGAGAACAAAACAAACTACTCCTCCAGTCCTAAATATGAACCTTTATACATATTAGTATATAAGGGTCTTATATTTAAGACTGGAGGAGTATTATTTAAGCCAAAAATAGAGGAGACAAATAAATATTTTGAAATGTTATATATATATATATATATGGAGGTAGATACATAGATACATCAGAGATATAGTTTATTATACTGGCAAACAATGTCACATTTGCAGAGGCGTTTTTGTTGATGAAGGTCAGTGCAAGTGCAGTGTTGTGGCATGGCGCTTGCCCCATACTGTGCTAGGAATTCAAGTGCACAGCCGTAGCCTCCTTTGGTCCCTCCACACGTTCCATCCAAAGTCATCTCCTTTGGACACAAATTCCCACCACCTAATCATATTATTATACTCCAAACCACATTCATTAATATCATCAAATAATTAAAACCCACAATTACTTATTAATTAATTAATCAATCTCTCATCTCATATATATATATATATATATATGCCTCGTACGTACCTTGAGCTTGAGCGTGGAGGCTAATGACGGAAACAAGAACAACAAATAGAGAGAAGATAAGCCCAAGCTTCATGATTTATGTTCTGCTATATATTTGGGGCTATATATATTCTGATCTCAAGTTTGATGGATGGTGACCACATGCATGATTATATGATTATATACTCTACACAGGGCTTTTCTGCATTGGAAAAAGGACTACATGTATTAATACATTTTGTTACTTTCTTAAACTAACTCTTTTAAGATTCAAAGAACCTGATTTTTTTTAACTTTCATAAATTGTCTTGTCTCATCCCATCACATGCTCCCCATTTATGAATCCAACATATTAAGTGCAATTAGGAACATTCATATGTACTAAATGCATTAAGAATTATTTGAATTTTGAGAATATGCATTACTCCCTCTCTCTGATATGTTCCTTATTACAAGAGACAATTGTGAAATAGTATGGTGTGTTCCTTTTTGTAAGAGACACTTAGAGGTTGTCTCAAATTTTATTTGTTGATTTTTTATTTTATCTCATTTAATTACTGATATTGCTTATATTATTGTATTTAATTCCCACATGTTATTTTTCTTCCACACAAATGAGGATTTTTTTTACAGAAAAACTTATATTTTTTACACATTTATTGTTCTCAACTAATTTTTACTAATATTTTAAATAACATAGTTTAGATAATTGTCTTAGTTTAGATAATTGTCTCTTATAAAATGAAACGAAAAGAGTATTATGTTAGTATAAATACAATAATGTAATTTATTTATTAGTTTTAAACAACCGAAGGCCTAACAATTTAGAAGCCGATTTCAATTTGAATCAAAGTGATAAGGAAAGCACCCACTCCCCATATTTCTCCTTTCTAAATTCATATACCGATCTATTAGTTTTATTATAACGTAAATGATTTAGATTTCATATTCATAACATTATTTTTAAACTTTTAAAAAAATTACTTTTGCGGAGAACAACAGTTGTCACCTTAAAATAGTTGGGCTTTATCAAAAGCTAAATGTTCAAATATATCATTTACCATGAGATCTTATTATATAACTTTCTTTATACAAAAATAATAGAATGAAGACATCATGAAGATGGTTTTATACAAATTCTTTCTTCTTTGTAAAACTATAGGTCTGTCCCAAGTTAGATGGCTATAATACAATAAAAGAATAAAATAATGTTTTTATCCGAAAGGACAAGGTTGTACCAAAAAAAAAATCAAAAAATAAGTCTTCTCAGAACAACTTGCTGGCAAATTCATCCATGTCAATTCCTTCCGACTCATAGGCGACAAATTTTGAGGCAAGTCGTCTGAGCTGCGAGACGCTTCTTCCCAATTTCGTGGCCACCTTCATTTCAAAGAGGGCACCGTTCTCTCTTTTCTCGCAGTCTTTCTCTTCAAGCGTTGCTTCTATGGTTTCTTGCAGCAACTTGAAGAATCCTCCACAGTTTCTGTACATTTCAAACACCATTCCCACTTGGCCTCCATGCTCCAATGCATTCACAGACGCCGCCAACGACCCAGCCATGACGGCCGCAATGCCTGGCCAAGACGAACCATGGCTGGCTAATGCAGAACCTAAAGCTGCAATCCCGGTGAGCAAAGGACCTGATATGGCTAAGGTTTTGTTGATCTTGAGAGCCAAGTTTCCTAGTCTGTCATAATCCTCCATATCTTTTCTTTTAACCACTTCAAGAAGCTGCCACATCTCCGTTTCCAGTTCTGGAGTCCATCCATTTTTATTATTCGTTTTCTTCTGCGATCTGGTGGTGGCTTCTGTTTTAGGCCACCAAACAGCAGGCTCAAATTTGGAAGGGAATTTCTCAAGCATGGTTCCTAATAGAGGAAGGGGGTAAGCTTTGTCGAGTGCCAAAACCTTATTCATCGCAGTGTCGACGTCTTCCTCAGTTGGATTTCCAATAGCTAATGTGGTTTGGATTTCAGTTTGAAGCTGCTTGAACAACCTCGTTGCATTTCGTTGCTCCTCGGCGAGCTGTGACGGCTGAATCTTGTTCATGATGAGAAGCATTCCGGTGGCGGCAGAGAACAAAAGGGTAGACGATAATTTGAGTGCCAACATCGGTGCTGTGTCGTCAATGGCTGTGGTGACTCCAACCATGCCGGCGGCGGCGAGGGTGATCATATTGACGGAGTTGAAAAGAAGAGAGTTCCAATTATTGCGTTGCTCGCCAATGTTTTTATGCATTTCAACTCTGTCAGCCACAGCCTCCAATACTGCATATAGTTTAACAGTGGCCTTGGACTTGCTGGGTTTGGAAAAATCAACAAAGGTTTGTGAGTTTTCGGCATCTTTCTCTAACGGAATTATTGTATGTATAGATCCATTGAGTTCCTGAATCAGCTTCGTCGTCGTCGTGGGTATTTTCGGAAGTGAGAAAGGAACTGGTGGGAGCTTGGGGACATTAATGGCGGCGTTGACTCTGTTGAAAGTCGAAGAAGAAGAAGAAGAAGAAAGCGAAGCTGAGATTCGTAAACAAGACATGAGAGCGATTTAATTGAAATGGATTGCTTCTGGGTTTGGTTTAGAATGAGGATGGGGAAGAAGACTTGGGTTCTGATATTTATATACCAGACAATCAGAGATTATCAGAAGGAACCAAAATGGAAGGCGAATGAGTCATATTTGGGAAAATATTGACCATTGACCAAGTGAATAAGACCGAGCCTTACATTTGACATTTCAATAAGGACCTAGCTTATAGCTTATACATTTCATTTTAAAAATTTCCTATAGTTTCAAAGGCTATACGGATTCTAAACTCTAAACTTCAATTTATTATACAGCTGATATTGATGATTGCTTGCATTAATATCGAATATAATTTTTGTCCCATTTATTTATTATTATTTGCCAAAGTCTCTCATTAATTTAAATTTTATTTTTTATTTGACGAAGAAAAAAATTTGACTAATGTTGATGAAATAATTTTATTTAGCTTGACTAAAACGATGATATTTTTAAAAAAATAATTTTCTATAAAAAAATTATTAAATGAGATTAAAAGATTGCCCGTGGTGTATAGTTCATTATTGCCCATGATTTCAAATATTATCTTCAATTCTCAAAATACTAACTTAACTGTGCCTGTAAAAATTATTGACTTCTTTTAAAAGATTGATCCCCAAAAACTGTTTTTTACAAGACTCAATAACAAGTAACTCTATAAAGATATTCGAATAAAATTAACTTTTCGGTTAAGTTAAGCTACAATTAAATGATCATCCCCGTTTTATATGTTACAAATTTGAATTAAATTTGTCAAAGTGTGAATAAATATTACAGATTATTCTTCATAGGGCAGTTCAAAGTGGCAAAATCTTAGTCAGATTTTTACGACTCTATTATCGATTTTTGCAAATAAATTTCATAGTAATTAAGTGGGTGCTCTTCTACAGTCGAGCATTGCATTACGCGTCATGATCGGGGATATAAATATACCTCTGACTAATTGGAATAGTTATTTATTTTATTGCGACAAATAATTAGATTTGTCAGAAGACAGGGGACCATAAGTAGGTAATGAAGCCATCTAACTGTTCCAAATAATAATAAATTCAAAGGGGGCGCTTAATTATGGGTAAGTTGAGATGGATGGCTATAAACGTACAACTCGTCAAATCTTCTTCGTGAGCTGCTGGGTCAACCCATCAATTAATGCATATATGGCCCCTAGCCCCCTACATGTACAACTCAACTATTTATACGTGGCTTAAATCCAATATGCTTTTATTACAATATCCACTTTTACGTTTCTGCTCATGGCCACTTGTATTTTAAGTTTACAAATAAAAAAATATATTAAATTAATAATTTTTTAACCTTTGCCCTTGTTAAAGGAAAGGTATTAAAAAAATATTTTGATATTTTTTCTTACCTATTTAAGTCAATTAGAATAAAACTTAAAAAAGATTATTAATTACTCTACAAGTATTTTACATTTAGAATAAAACTATTTTTTTTACAAATGATTTATAAATAAAAACAAAGCAGTACAGGGCTGAGTAGAGGCGTTTAACTTGGTCCCTCCTGGCATATATCCTGTCTTGATTCCAGTTATTTTGGAGTTGAACAGTTTTGTCTTGAAAATTTTTCAGACATATGTATCATCATCTTCTATTTAGAAATTTATTTTAATTATTAATTGTTACTTTAATAATGTTCTTTATGAGTTCTCCTGTACAGATTATATAATATTTTCCGTGGATATTTTGGGTTTATTTATTTTCTGTCTTTCAATATAATAGGAAACTTTTATCCTTTGCCATTGTTTTAACCAATTTTTATCTATTTTATTTATTTTCGTTGTAAATTTTTTATTATAAATTATCATGCTCTGTATATATAATTGGTTTCAAAAAAAAAAATCAAAAACTTCAAAAAGCAAAAAGATGAGACGTCTTTGTTCGATCCTAGTCGTGTCCTGTTCAATAAGAACAAGATCATCAAGAAATCCTGATTATTAAGACAAGATCAGGACATGATTGTTCTAATCCCGCCCTTATGAACATCCCTATGACCAAGCAGGTAACATGTAGCTTGGTGTATTCACATTTACGTTGTCTAAATGAGCCAACCCGGCCAGACCTGCCCAAAAAAAGAAAAAAAACAAGCAGGCTATATGATTTCACAGGTGAGCCAACCCGTGCCTGCTGCTCGTATAATCAATATTATTCAACATGATGAAGTTGGTGGTAACTAGTAAGGTGGTTTCTTATTGATCAAACATAGATAGAGATACATATATAGGATTATATTGTTCAAGCTAAGTACAAACAATGTCACATTTGCAAAGGCGTTGTTGATTAAGGTCAGTGCAAGTGCAGTGCTGTGGCATGGCCCTTGCTCCATATTTCCCTAGGAACTCAATTGCGCAGTTGAATCCTCCACTGCTCCCTCCACAACTTCCCTCCAACCTCATCTCCTTTGGACACAATTTCCCACCACCTAAACAAAAACAAGTTCGTTTAGTTCCTGAAATAGTGTTTTTTTGGTATCTGAAACAACATTTTACAGGCATAAATATCTGACAGATAAAACCGTCTTCATCAATAAAACTCGATGGACCAAGACTACTGGTTTCAAATTTCAATAAGAAAAATCAAATAAAGTTAAATTTCATGAACTCAAAATGATATTAATCCTGTATGTGTGTGTATATCATACCTTGAGCTTGAGCATGGGGGCTAAAGAGAGAGAGAAGAACTAAAATTAATAGAAAGAAAAGAGGTGCAAGCTTCATGGTTTATGTATATTGTATTGTGATGAAACTGGTGGATGAGTGTTGCAACCAAAAGAATATGTATGTTTATATACACACCTAGGGCTTTTCACCATGGAAAATGATTTAAGACTGTTTATAAGTTTTGATATGGCTGTGCTTTTTTGATATAATCTTAAATCTTTGATTAACTTGGTTCCCTAATTTGTGATTATTCTTCGAGACCTTTCATTGCATGTGGCACAATTTTCGTTTGTAAAGATGCAATTGGTATTGCTTTATATATGTCTTATCCAAAAAAAAAAAAGGTATTGCTTTATATATGGTCTTGATTAGATTTGGTGGCCATCTAAAGATAAAGGATATTCTTCTTCTCCTTTTTTTTTTTTTTAAAAAAGAGATTTAAAATGTTCACATTTAATCTAAATGATTTAGATTTCATATTTTTGTTTTTTTAACTTAAAATATTATTTCTCTGTAAATTAATAGTAGTTGTTACATGCATATTTGACTTTATTCGAATATAAAACATCAGCCTTATAGTTTAATTATTTTAATTATAATTGGCATGTATATATTTTAGGGTCAGAAATGATTCATGGTGCCATTCTTTATCTTAACCACGTAATATATATACATGATATCTCTTGTAGTTATATTATAATGCACATTCATTAATCAAATAATCAAAAGTCACAACTACTTAATTAATGAATATAATCTCTCATCATAGCCAGTACCTTGAGCATGAGCGCGGAGGCAAAAGACAGAAAAAAGAACTAACAATAGACATAAAATAAAGGACTTTTCTGTATTGGAAAAGGATTAGATTTTATTACATTTTGTATGTTCATGAACTAATTCCCAAGATTCAAAGAACCTGATTTTTACTTTCATAAAACATCTTGTCCGATCCTATATGCTCCCCATTTATAAATCCAACTTATTAAGGGCAAGAACATTCATATGTACTAAATGCATCAAAGATTCTTTGAATTTGGGAAATGTACATTATTATATTAGTATAAATACAATGTAATACTATCACTGGCCTTTGATATAAGAGTCAGGTAACTAATTTGAGGAGATTAAAAAAATTAGTTGAGTTGGTTAATCATGGCACATATGTGTTGACTTCCCCAAACCACCCTCTTTAATCATGTGTATCGAGACTATCCTTTGATGAGAACTCCTTACAATTACTAGGATGTTTTAGAAAAAATATTATAAATTTGAGAGACAAAATAGATGAATTTAAAATTAGGATCAAGTTTAATTTTAACTAACTCTTATATCAAGGACACAAGGTAATATATTTATTGGTTTTTAATAATTAGAGGCCTATGAATAAAGCCCATTTCGAAGTCTCACACACACACATTTGAATCTAAGTGAATAAGAGGACTTCTCCCCCAATTCTCCTCTTTAAATTAAACTTCAACCCTTATTTTCATACTAAACAAATCATTTTTTGTAGAACAATAATTATTACATTAATAGTTGAGAAATTTTTTTGTTCAAAGGTTAATTAGTTGAGATTGAGCAAAAGCTAAATGTTGAAATATACTCCATCTGATTTAAAATATAAGATAAATTTGATCCATTTACTATCAAAAATTAGTTAAAATCACTTTAAAA